TATTCTTACCTGAAACACCTCCTCCTCCTCCTCCATGTGTGGCAAAAAGTTCCCTACAAAGTCCTTGAAGGCCTCCTGGAGCTCACAACCAAACCTCAGCCTCTCTCCAATGCTCCTCTCATTCACCTCGGTGCCTGTCCGGACAAGGCGCACCATCTGAAGAAGGGAGGAGGAAGAGATTTTCAGGAGAGATGAAAGAAAAAAAAAATAGGAAGGGAGGAGAGGAAGATAAAAAAGCAGTAGAAAGAAAGGAGGGAAGAGAGGGAGGGATGGTGGGACAAGGTTTAAAGAGAAGAATGACAAGTGATATAGAATGACTGGGTATGTAAACTATGAAATGTGCATTTGCCTAATTTGATCCCAAACAGTATGAAATAAATAACCAATAATATTCTCCAGCCAATGCTCCATTGAAAAATTGAGAGGAAATAAAGAAATATACAAAATAAAAATGAAGAGGGTAAAGAAGAGAGGGAGGGAGGGAGTAAAAAAAAAAAAAAAAAAAGGATTTTCAAGTATACACAAAACCCCCAAAATATTCTACCTCACCTATTCTTAGCCTTACATCAGAAAGTCGGTTGTCATTGTGGCAATCGCAGACAGCTGTGTTCTGGATCTGGTGTTGCTTGAGCCGATTCTTCAGCTGATCCATAATGAAGATGTTCTCAATGGATTCGTGTGACTTGAACTCGTACAAGGTCAGGTCTAGGTCTTGCAGTAATGACACGACCTCTGACCCGTCCCGGAAGTCCACACACTGCATCTGCACAGATATTAGTTTGAATTAAGAAGTTAAATGAGTAAAAATGGACACAATAATAGAAAATCACTAGAAGGAATAGGAGTATAAAGAGAAACGAAGAGTAAGCGCAAAAAGAAAGGGTATTAAGGGGGAAAAGGAGGAACAAGAAGAGAAAATTCTGCCAATAACACCCTACGTAGATACCACACAAAAAGATAAAAAAAATAAAAAAATAAGGTAACAGAAAAATAAGGATAATCAATACATATTCCTAAATTTGAGTTTATGGAGTCATATGCTAAAATTGATTATCAAAAGCAGTCACTGAATGCAATGACAGATAAGAATAAGATAAGTTATCACAATCAAATAGATAGATAGATAGATAAAGAGAGAGAAAGGGGAGGGGGGCTGAGAGAGGGAAAGCAGACAGAGGGAGAGCAGAGAGAGTGAGAGAGCAGAGAGAGAGCAGAAAGGGGAGAGCAGAGAGCAGAGAGCAGAGAGCAGAGAGCAGAGAGCGGAGAGAGAGGGAAGAGGGAAGAGGGAAGAGGGAAGAGGGAAGAGGGAAGAGGGAAGAGGGAAGCAGGAAGAGAGAAGAGAAAAGAGAAAAGAGAAAAGAGAAAAGAGAAAAGAGAAAAGAGAAAAGAGAAAAGAGAAAAGAAAAAAGAGAGAAGAAAAAATAGAAAATAGAAAATAGAAAATAGAAAAGAGAAGAGAGAAGAGAAAAGAGAAAAGAGAGAAGACAGAAGAGAGAAGAGAGAAGAGAGAAGAGAAAGCAGAGAGAACAGAGAGAGAGTGAGAGCAGAGAGAGAGGGAGAGCAGAGAGAGAGAGAGGGAGAGCAGAGAGAGAGGGAGAGCAGAGAGAGAGGGAGAGCAGAGAAAGAAGGAGAGCAGAGAGAGAGGGAGAGCAGAGAAAGAAGGAGAGAAGAGAGCATAGGGGAGAGAGCAGAAAGCAAAGAGCAAAGAGCAAAGAGCAGAGAGAAGAGAGAGAGCAAAGAGAGCAGAGAGCAAAGAGAACAGAGAGAGAGCAGAGAGCAGAGAGAGAAAGAACAGAGAGAGAGAGAGAGAGAGAGAGAGAGAGAGAGAGAGAGAGAGAGAGAGAGAGAGAGAGAGAGAGAGAGAGAGAGAGAGAGAGAGAGAGAGATTGAGAGAGAGAGAGATTGAGAGAGAGAGAGATTGAGAGAGAGAGAGAGAGAGAGAGAGAGAGAGAGAGAGAGAGAGAGAGAGAGAGAGAGAGAGAGAGAGAGAGAGAGAGAGAGAGAGAGAGAGAGAAGGCAACCACAGAGAGGGAGAGCAGAGAGAGAGGGAGAGCAGAGAGAGGAGAGCAGAGAGAGAGGGAGAAGGAGAGAGCAGAGAGAGAGCATTGAGGAGAGAGAGAAGAGAGAGAGAGAGAACAGATAGAGAGAGAGAGAGCAGAGAGAGAGAGAGAGCAGAGAGAGAGAGAGAACAGATTGAGAGAGAGAACAGATTGAGAGAGAGAACAGAGAGAGAACAGAGAGAGAGCAGAGAGAGAGAGAGAGAAAACCGAGAGATAATGAACAGAGAGAGAGAGAACAGAGAGAGAGAGAACAGAGAGAGAGAGAACAGAAAGATTGTCATATGTCTTAAAGTATAACACAAAAGGAAGTATTGAAGCCATGGGTGTAGCAGCCTTGTATATAACTGCATACAGTCTCTAATTTTATAAGAATCAGATTTACAAAATGAGAGAAAATCCATTTTCCTCCCTAAATAAAACCATATACCATCTTGTACACAGAGTGTAACTTCTAATTTATTGAAATGGACTCTCATGTCCATAACCAATATCAGATTAGGTTCGATCTAAGAACTAAAATGAATATCATGCATCTAATATGCAAAAACACTAATATCATGTCTTGCTTGCAAGTGATACAAACAGATATCATATTACTTTGTTGTTGAACTGCAACAACTGCAACACACTGGCCAAGTGAACCCCAAATTCTTCTGGAGACACTGGGCTAGGAGAGGTTTAGGGGTCAAAATAGAGCCCTGAATGGTATGAAAGACATGCCTATATGTGTGATAGTAAAACTCAGCTGAGGCAGTTGATCCGAGAAGTAAACATTCCTCTCTCAGTCCTAGGTTATTCATATTAGGTGATTGGGTTTAAGTATAAAAGATCAATGCATGCCATGAAATTAAAATACTGAATACACTCATAAAGTGTATCACAAGGTATTGTACCAAAAAAGCACACATGCTAGGGAAAACAAACAAACTGTAGGTAGTCCAACTGCAAAATCACCAGTTTGAGAAGGTTTTTGGTTCATACAGCTATTATGGTGGCAGTTTATACATTTTGAATGGGATTCAGGTGTTTCTTAATTCAAAGTGAGTATAACTATAGTAACATAATGTGATGTATATTGACTAATTTTACAGGAGTTCTGCTGTAAGGAATTCTTGCTTATGACACAGCAGGGTACTGTGATTACAGCAGACTTCAAGAATTCCACACTGCACTCACACGGCTGGAGCTCCCAGGATAAGAGTCAACAGACATCGGTTTATGATCCTCTACTGCCTTTTTAATCAAAATTGGGGACTTAGTCTCCGTCACATGCAGTCCTGTTGTAAACCCTTACAAGAAAGTTACTGTCAGTTCACATTGTATATATTTATTGTTTCCATTGACTCATACTGCAATACCAGTTAAATAGTTATCCACAGGTGTCCTCTCATACCAAACTGCATGGGTTTTCTGATGCAAACCCGTTCTGAAAAGTGCCTTCCACCATACAACCTGTCCCACTTGTCATTCTTACCAAGCCCCATGTTTAATAGTAACAGTCAACCGCAAATGTCAAATTCGACGCCTCAAGGAAATTACACTCATCCTGAAGTTACCTCCAATATAACTCTCTAGATTTCAACTTCATTTTTCCAACTTCCAATAGAAACAATAGTCAGTAACTAAATCCATCCCCTCAAAAAAATATATATATAATAATAATAATAGGAAACACACAAGAGGGGAAAAAAACAGTTTTAACTCGAAGTCCACAAGCTCACTAAAAATGCCATGACAATCCAAAACTCCCCCAGAAATGACAACCCAAACTCCACAAAGCTCAAATGATACCTTCTGTGTGTATATATCCACGAGTTCCTTCATCCTGGAGTGCGGGACGGTGAAGACGTCAATCTCGTCAGGGACTCGCGGCGCCATCTTCCTCGGGGTTTGTTTACGACGGAGGGCTGAGCGGGCGCGGGGCTAAAGGCGTTTCTCGACGAAGAGGTTGTTGGGGTATTTTTTTTTTTTTTTTTTTTTTTGGGGGGGGGGGTTGTTTGAGTGAATGGGGGGAATACATGTGTTTTTTTGTGTGTGTGTTTGTGTGTGTGTTTATTTCGTCATAAAATGTCAGTATTCATCCATTGCCCATATAAAATTTTATTTTATAAAATCTGGTTTTACTTTTATCATTCATTCATATCGCTAGCGCATATAGTATGTCAATGATGTTTGTGTGCTTTGATTTTTTTGTGCTATTTACTGTCTATTTATTAATTGTCAATTCATATCTGCATATACAAATAAACAGATTGATAGACAGATAGATATATATCGATATAGATATACATGTATATCCAGCAACACAATGATATATAAGAAAATAGACTGATAGATATATAGATAAATATATTTAGATAAAAATATACATATATATCCACACACATTTATATATACACATATATATGTGTCTGTGTGTATATGGATAAAAATATATATCTACATCTATCTCTATATATGCCAATCTATCAATCTATCTATCTGTATATATCAGTAAATGAACTGAAATGGGAGTTCCTCAATCAAACCTAAAGAGAACGAACCTAAAACTCGAATCTCATTCACAAAGTCAACCAGAAAAATCAGGCCATATCATTAAGCAACAGTCTACATGAAGTCTGTCACGTATCGGAGAACGTACAAAGCTTATCTGGGTCACCGTCAGAGGCACAGTTGATTGTTACTCAGTAATAATGTTTCTCAGCATGAAAGGACACTTCGCCTCGTTGTTATGTATATGTATATGCATATATATATATATATATATATATATATATATATATATATATATATATATATATATATATATATATATTTTTTTTTTTTTTTTTTTTTTTTTTTTTTTTTTTTTTTTTTTTTTTTTTTTTTTTTTTTTTTTTACAGCCATTCATTCCACTGCAGGACATAGGCCTCTCTCAATTCACTATTCAGAGGTTATAT